CTCGTCCTTACCTTTAAATGATGATAGAAGTAAAGTGAAATGGCACGACATCACCCTTCATGCTTTTACTCTCATCCTCACCATGTAACAATGAATAAATGATATGAATGGATTGACATCACCCTTTGTACTTTTACACTTCTCCTCACCATATAATAATGAATAAATGAGATAAATGGCATGACATCAGCCTTCGTACTTTTACACTCTTCCTCACTATGTAATAATCTACAACTGAGATAAATGCAATGACACGGCATCACCCTTTGTGCTTTTATACTCTTCCTCACCATGTAATAAAGATAATATGAATTTTGAAAATAATTAATGCGGAGAATGTATTAACATCAAATATGATGGCAAGATACCAAACCTTAACTTCCCAAAATACTCAAAGTTTTTGAAATAAGCAATAATTACAAAAGGAATAATCAAAGAAGTAATAACCTAAGCTAAGCATGGATATCATAATTAACAATGCAATAAAACACAAGGAAAAAAGTTCCACCCGCATGCTTTAACCCAACAACAATGCATAAGTACTCGTCACCTCACATATACATTGTCCCCACACATCAAACACATAGTAAATACACTAACAAGTCCTAATCCCTCAAGTTAAGGTTAACCATAACACTTATTTCTCTCCACAATCAAGTCAAAGATCAACCGGGGTCTTTCCTCTAAAATTCGCCTCCAAACCAATCGAATCTAACCAAATATAGTTCAAACAATTCAAAATAAAGCTTTAGAAACTACCCATGAGTGAAAAAGATTCAATCTTTAATGATTTTGGAAAAAGTCAACAAAATGCAACCCCGGGCTCGCTTGGCAAAACCCGAGATTCGGACCAAAACCTAATTACCCATTCACCCCCGAGCCCGATTATGTGATTAGTTTTTGAAATCGGACGGTCTAAATCTCAATTTCTCAAAATCTCCAATTTCTACCTAAATCCCTAATTTCTACCATGAACAAGCATAGATTCAATGCTAGAAATCAATGGGTGTTGATGAAAATGGAAGAAAACGAGTTAAAATATATTAACCTATGAAGTAGGGATGAAATTCCTCTTCAAAATCGCTTGTAGGCCTAGCTCAAATATGAAGATGGTGAAAAATGAAGAAAATCTCGTGTTTGGGGTATTTTAAATTACTGGTGCCAGCTCTTCATCATGTTCGCGAAGGACCTGACACGATTGCGAAGAGCTACGACCCAATTTGCCTTCGCGTTCGCGAGATGCTATATGCATTCACGATGGCCCTCCCCTAGCCTTCACGTTCGCGACCCTTGGTTCGTGTTCACAACCTGAACCTCGTGTTTGCATATGGAAATCCCACCCCATCCCATGTTACCCTTCGCGATCGCAAAGAATAAGTCACCAGACATAAACGATCTCTAAAAGCAGCAATCCTTCTAAGTTTAAAATCACTCTGTAGCCTATCCGAAACTCACCTGAGCCCCTCGGGCTCCAAACCAAACATCATACGAACTCGCCCGCATGATCGAAATACCAAAATAACACCTAGAACTACGAATCAAACATCAAAATATATGAAAATTGTCAAAGAAACTTAAGAACTTTAAAATTTACAATCAGAAGTCCGAATCATGTCAAATCAACTCCATTTTATACCAAATTTAATAGACATGTCATAAATAGTGGAATAAACCTATTCCAAGTTCCAGAAATGAAATCAAAACTCGGTTGCAACAATGTCAACCTACGGTCAAACTTAGAAATTCTTTAAACCTTCAAATTACTAATTTTCAACAAATCATGTTAAATCAAGTTAGGAACTTCTGAATTCAATTTCGGGCATATGCTCAAGTCCCAAATCATGATACGGACCCACTGAGATCGTCAAAATATTGATTTGGGTTTGTTTACACAAAGTGTTAACGTAGTCAACTCAAATCATTTTTAAAGCTAAAATTCATATTTTATTCAAATTGTTTTATAAAAAATTTCAAAAAAAGACATGGACTGCGCATGTAAATTGAGGAAGTCCAAATGGAATTATTCGAGGTCTTAAAACACAGAAATGATTTCTAAAACTCAAAAGAGAAATTGAGGGTTTTCGTCTAAACGTTTCTAAAGTGATTCTTTGAGTTTTGAACATCAATTCGGAGTCAGAATTAAGTGATATTAGTATGGTTGAACTTGTAATTAAATGGTTTGTCTGATTTTGTGAGTGTTGTCGGGTTTTAAGGTGCGAGCCTGGCGTTGTCGGAATAAAGATTCGACCTTTATCGATTGGGATACTTTATATTCTATTATTTGATGATTTTTAGTTTGTTTTGGCTAGTTTCGATCCGTTCAGAGGATGATTTGAGCGGGTTGGCATTTCTAGCGTACCAATTCGGCATGTTCGAGGTAAGTGTCTTGCTTAACTTTGTTGGGAGAGTTTTTACTACTAATTTCCATTGTTTGCTACATGCGTGGGTGATGCAAATATTAGGTGACGAGCGTATATGTATATGCGTGTGTTAATCATGCTCGGGGGTAAATTATACGATTAATTGTGCCTTGTAGAATTACGTTACCTTCTTATTTCATGTCTTACTTGACTTCTACATTACAAAAGAAAATATAAAATTAAATGCTAGAAACCAAGATTTAGCTTATTAAAACTGTATTAAAATTTGATGGATTTTTATGAAATTATTGATGTGTTAAATTCTGTCATCGTTATGCTTAATCACTAATACATCGCCACGACCATTATTATTGAGATATTGGATTCTATACTTGAGTTGAAGATGATTGTTGAGACTTGTTGAAATACTTGAGCAATAAGGTTCTTGAGGTTTATTGAATTGTTATTGGCTTGAAAGATGTGATTGATGTTCAGTTGGAATATTCGCTTAAACACTCTCCTTGATGTTATTCATGCTTCCTACCTTGCTTGTTATTGATTTACATGTGCTTGGTGAGGAAAAGTGTAAAGCACAAAGGGTGATGCCATGTCATTTCATACACATTATCAAAGTTTGCTATTATCTCATCAAAAGGTAATTTCTTTTTTATACAACCTCCAGATCAAGAAAGACATTTTAAAAGGATTAGAATTATGCCATACCTTGCTTAGTTCAAGAGATTTCTTTTTAGAGGCTCTAATGCTTTGCCAAGTAGACTTGTTAGTGAACTGTCCATCTTCAGTTGCATTCCAGATTGCATAGTCCTCTTGATTAAATTGTCCTATGCCAATGTTGTTAATTTGTTGTACTAGTTGTTCCGGCATCATGCTTCTCAATTTGTCCAGATTCCATGCTCCATTCCTAATGTAATCCTTCACTTTGACCTTGCAACTTCTAGTCTGGCTAGAGTACCACTCTCAGACCAGTTATCCCACCAAAAACTACAATCTCCTCTATTAATTTTCCATATCATATTCGTTTCAGCTTTATCCATTAGCTTCATAAGATGTCTCCATGCTTGTGAGCAATTTAAAGTTCCAATCTTAGCTATTGGATGTACATTTTGACAATATTTTGCTTGCATAAAATCTGCCGAGAATCTTGAGTTCTCAATCTCCACCATCTCTTAATTGCTAAGGTAGAGATTATATCTTCCATTCTTCTAATACCTATACCACCTTCATCTTTTGGAAGACATAGGTTCTTCCAAGAGCTCCAGTGATATTTTCCTTGTCCCCATTGGTTCCCCAATAAAACCTGGCAAAATGTCTTTCTAATAAGTCCAAAGTGGTTTTTGGGGGGTTGATTGCACTAAGAGTATAGGTAGTAATAGACTACAACACACTTTTAATTAGCACAACTCTGCCTCCATAAGTTAGCATCCTGCCTAGCCATCCGCTGAGTCTCTTGACTACTTTGTTAACCATGTTATCAAAGTCAGATATATTCTTCCTTCCCACATATATAGGACACGCCAAGTAAGTAAAAGGTAAGTTCTTCTCCATAAAGCCAGTACATTCCCTCAACCTGTTGATTCTATATGCACAAGTATTTGTATCTGTAAGGAAGAAGCTTTTGTCTTTGTTAATTTTTTGCCCAGAAGCCTTTTCATATGCCCTCAATTATTTCATGATGAGTTTGACTGATTTCCTGTTTCCACTGCTGGAACTGACAATGTCGTATGCATATGATAAATGATTTACAAGTAGACCCCTGTAATTCATAGAAAAAGGAATAAAGTTTTTGTTAGTAAGTAAATTGTTTAAAGACCTAGAAAGAACCTTAGCTTCAAAAATAAAAAGAGAAGGAGAAAGAGGATCTCCCTGTTTGAGCCCATGTGATGATGTAAAAAATCCATTCCTAGATCCATTTATGATAACAGAGTACCATACATTATATATTAATCTCAAAACATGATTAGTCCACACTTCTAAGAAGCCAAAATTCTTCAGTACTTGAACTAGGAATTCCAATGACAACTTATCATAAGCCTTTTTCATGTCAAGTTTTAGAATAATATTACCTCCAGAATTCATCTTGGAAATTCCACGAATAATCTCTTAAGCAAGCATCACATTTTCAGTGATGAGTCTACCAGTAACAAAACCACTTTGGTTCTCAGAAAGTAGCTTGGCCATTATTGGGTTAAGTCTTCTAGACAAAATTTTGGAAATGATTTTGTTAGTCAAATTACTAAGGCTAATTGGCCTTAGATCAGAAAAAGAAGTAGGAGACTCCACTTTAGGAATTAAGGCAAGACAAGTGTGAGTGTAAAATTTGGTCAGATTCTTTCCTTTGAAGAAATCAGAGACAAAGGCAATCACATCCTCTTTAATAATATCTGAACAATTTTGAAAAAAATTACCATTATAGCCATCAGGTCTAGCACTACTGTCAGCACTCAAACTGAAAATTGCTTCCCTAATCTGAAGATAATCAGGCATTATGTTCAAAATCTCATTACCATCCTGGGAATACAATCCAACAATCTATCATTCATAGTATCTTGAACCATTTTGAATCTCTATTTAAAATGCTTAACTGCAGCGCGGGCAATTTTATCATCCCACTAAATCCATCTATTCTGGTGGTTCTTGATTCTGTATAAGTGAAGTTTCTTCCTTTTTTTCCCTTAGGACACTATGAAAATACTTGCTACTGCAGTCACCATCTTTAAACCATCTTATCTTAGTTTTTTTTTGTCTCAATAGGGATTCTTGCATACCAAGCCATTTAATATATTCAGTATGTCCCTTATTGAGCTCTTCTCTTCCTTGATCTGTATTGTTGTCCTGATCAATATCTTCTAGTAGCTGCATTTTAGCCTCCCAAGTCGGAACTTGCTCATTGACATGACCTATGATATCTCTGGACCACTTACTAAACCTCTTACTTAAAGCATTCAACTTGCTCTGAAGCCTCCACATTGCATTCCCATCTACCTTCATATCCCATACTTCTTGTACCACCTCATGAAAGCCCTGTTGATCAGTCCAACAATTTAAAAATCTGAAGTACTTAATGTTATCCACCTGCTCATTGGGATATTTCATAAGTAGAGTGCTTGACAACATTAGATTGAAAATTTGAGCCCATTGATCATTGATCAATACCCTATCAAGTCTTTTTCAAATCCTTTTTTTTGGCCTTCTATTATTTCACCATGTGAACTTTAAACCAATAAAGCCAATATCAGCTAGCCCACAATTCTCCATAGTGTTGATGAAGTCAAATCTCCTACGAGCTCTATGAGGTCTACCCCCAAATTTTTCATCTGAATCCATAATCACATTGAAAACTCCTCCCACGCACCAAGGTCCATCAATGATATCATTCAAATATTCAAAATTGCTCCAATGATCTCTTCTCTCGACAGAAGTGCATTTAGCATATACCGTGGTGATCACAATTCCTTTCTCTTCTGCAGTCTCTTTAAAGTTGATACTCAGTTGTTGTTCTTCATTAGCAATTATCTCAAATTGATCAAAGTAACTCCAAAAGCACCAGATCTTGCCATTTATATTTGCCTTGCAATATTGAAAGCCAAGAAATTTCCTATAGCCTTCAATCTTATTCATATCAACAAAAGGTTCAATAATAGCAGCAAACATTATTTTGTTGATGTGGATAAGATGCTTAAGTCTGTGAATAGCCTTTTTGGATCTTACCCCCCTTATATACCAAAACATTGTACTAATCATGGGATAACATTTGTCTTCTTTCCTTTCCTTCCCTGTTGAGATACTCCTTTTATTTCTTGGGTATTGTCTTATTTGTCTTCATTTCCTGTATGTTGTGTTTGTTGACATTCATCAATATTGGTGCCGCTCAAAGTTTCTGTTTGGGAAGAATCTGCAGATTCACTTTGGTGTGCTACTTGTTTCTCAATTTTGTCAGGTGGTTGTGTAGGTATTCCTGCTGATTGATCACCAAATAACTCCACCACTAACTGAATTGCTTGTTCATTCTTGACTCTTGAGGATAGACTAGTGGATATTCTATATTTATTCAAATCGTCTTGTCTCTTGTCTTGGTATTCTTTGTTTGTTGACGAATTCTGATCATTGATTTTGTCTTCATCAATATTATGAATATGATCAGTATTATTGCTGCTCATACTTTCTGTCCTCACCTTGTCCCCATTGTTCTTTTCCATTCCATTCTCCACCTTGTTGTTGGACTTATTTGTATTAACATCATTCTCTTTATTTTGTTGGCTTCCTTGCACGCTGGATGCTATGAAATTCTGTGGAGATATGTATTCTCTGAAATATGTTTTTGCTCCAAAATTATTTTGGAAAAGGACTGGTTTGTAACTAACTTTACTCTTTTTTTTGGGCATGCTTTTCCTTTTGGTTTTCTTCTTCTTTTTCCTATTGAATCTAATTGTAGTTCTTTGTTGTAACGCTGGCAGATCCCTTTTTTCCTCCATCACCTCATCTGCCTGCACATGATAGAGCACCTCCTGATTTTTCATCTTTTTTGTTTTGTTATGATTCTTTTGTATGTTGAATTCTTGATTGAAAATCTTTGTCGTGTTCTTTTCCACAACACCCGGTGACTCAAAAATCACTATTTCTTGCTTATCATTGTCATTCCTAACATCCTCCTTGCTTCTACAACTCCCTTCCCCTGCTTGTAATTGTGTCTCCTTCATCTCATTGTCGTTCACCATTGTAGTTTATGTGATTCTCTTTTTTTTCAAGTACTCTGCACTAAATCATATTGTGGCCAAGTTTCCTACAGTGTTTGCAATACTTCAGAATGTTCTCATACTCTATCTTTTGCGTGTATCCTTTCAAAGGAGAGTTCTCATTTTCCGAACCTTCCCAAACACTATCTGGTAGAGGTTTTTGTTAGATCTATTTCAACTCTGATTTTAGCCATGCTTGGCCTAGGTTTACCAAAAGTAGCAGCGTCTCGAGCTAAATGAGTCCCAAAATTGCTAATAACTTATTTGACATAATGCCGTGTATGCATATTGAATGGAATACCGTGTAAAAGCACCCATACTGGTATAATAGAAATGTCTTCATCCGGTTTGAAATTCGGCGACCATTTTTGTAACCATATTTGTAGCCCTCAAATTTCAATCACCCTTCTGAACCATATAGAGTTGAAATCGTCTTCATTAGTAAAATCAATAAACACATTGTAGTTATCGTACACTCCAATTTTGGTGGAACCCTTAATCTAAAAAAGTTCTCTAAAGGTTGATCTAATTCTTTCAATTTCGGGACGAGGCTTCAATAATCCGCCTACAATTGTTAGCTTACATTCATCACCCGCCATAATTCCATAATAATCCGAGGCCTAAAAAATCACTGCTGGGATCCCATTATGCGTAGTCTGTCTCGCTATTACCGATTCTCTAGGATGGAAGGCATTGGTAGTCTGAGTTGTGGTGGCAGTGGTTATATTGGTTGCGTAGGTTTTTTTTTTTTTTTTTTTTTTTTTTTTTTTTTTTTTTTTTTTTTTTTTTTTTTTAAAAANTTTTTTTTTTTTTTTTTTTTTTTTTGCATTTCCTTCATTATGTGGAATCGTCATGACAGGTGGGTTAATTTGGTTACCAGTACGCGCCGATTGGACTCCGTCCGACGGTGCCATAGGGTGGAGCGTGACAGTGTCGCGCGTAGAAGGTTACCGTTATGATTGAAAGACTATAATAGTACGGAGAGAGTTTTTTGTGCCAAGTGTAGTATGTGCAAGAAATATTTATCAATGCAGTATGCCGTGCCATTTTATTTATAATATCATATTTTTATATTATTATGTGTTCATGGAACGACGAGTGTTTTCGTGTAGGAGAGGACGAGGGACATGCATTATGTTGTGATATCTTTTCCTTCGGTATACATTTATGACTATACCTTGAGCTCTTACTGTTGCACCTATATTTTTTATGTGACTTGTCGTTGTTGTTCTCTGTTTGTCCTCTATCTCAATTGTTGCTTTGTTGTTTATGCCTTCTATCTGTTTAACTTGCAAATATTATGCTTTCCTTCTTGTTGTCATATCTACATCCATGCTGCTTCTCATTTGTTGGACTTTCATATAAGCTTTCTATTATGTTAGTTATTCATGACTTCTATTTGTTAGCTCATAAAGATCATGCTTCCCCTCTTGTTTGTTATATCTGCATATATGCCTTCTACCATGTTAGTTAATGAAATTTATGTTCTTCTTTCCTAATTGCTATCATTACTTCTATCCCTTCTACCTAGTCTGTTACCGTGGTCCATATGTACTGCCTTCTTCATTATTGCTACTTGTATATTTTCTACTTTGTCATTACCATTATTTGGTATTTCTTTCACCTGGTTAGTACTGTAATATGCATATTTGGCGGGGATGAGGTAAATGCACGAAGGGTGTTGTTGTGCCATTTGATTTGATATCTTGGGTCATTTCTCACACTATGAAAATTGTGGATTTACTACCGTGGTTTTTTGGTTATCGCTCTAAGGAAAGGATTGGTCGTGATATTGAGGAACATTAATTGTGATTTCTTCTAGTAATCATTTAATGCTACGCATATTTATTTCTTGTACTCATTTTTGTTATGTTCTAGTATTGTTTTATTTCTAGTCTACTGCACAGGTTATATCAGTAAGTTTTTTTTAAATAAAAAGCCTCATCACTACTTCATCGAGGTTAATCAAGATACGTATTGAGTACATAGGGTCAGTTGTACTCATACTACACTTCTGCATCTTATATACATATCTTGGAGTGGAGCTGCGGTGGATGAAAATAGCTGACTCTGAGGATGTTCGTGCCTTCCAAATGTTGCTACCACTTGTCCCTGGGTAGTTTTAAAGTTGAATTCTGTTTATGTACATTTCAAACATAAGTTGTATTTATTTCATATCAATTTTTTTTGCAATAATCCAATCTTAGTAGCTCATAATTTATACTACCGGTCCTTGGGATATTGTATGGAATCCGGATATATCATTTGTTGGTCACCTTTATTTTATTAGAATTTTGTTAACTGTTAATTGGCTGACCTAACATGTTGGGTTATATGCCATCATGACTAGTGAATTTTCGGTTGTGACAAGTTGGTATCAGAGTACTAGGTTCATAGGTTCGACGAGTCATGAGTAAGTGTTTAGTAGATTCTTGCGGATCGGTATGTTGACGTCCATACCTATCTTCGGGAGGCTACAGGACATTCAAAAAAATTTCCCTTTTTTCTTTCCTTATTGCACGGCCTTAATTCAACTTGAAACATACGATTTTGATTCTTCTAATTTGTTCATATGGAATGTTGTGCACTCGGTATTTGCTATGTGCTGACGGTTTGTGATGTTGCAGATGGATTACCAAGGGCTATGAATGCTTGGTTATCATCGCGATGTGCTGTCTAGTCTTGGGAGTGGATGCAATAATAAATCTTTCATTCATTCATTCATTTGTGGTATGAGGTGGGTTGTTATATTTGATTGGTAAGCACGAACTTGGAAAGACTGGTTGGTGGCCTAGTTGTTGTGATTATGGTGGGTTCAAGGTAAGGCGTCGATTTGAGTACAGCCGGTGGGTTATCTCTTGCGTGATGACTATTGAAAGGATGGGTAAGTGCTTGGCAGAGTCTTCGGAGTGTTCTACTACCAGTATTGCGAGTTTTTGAAGTATTCAGCTAAATAGCCATGCGAGATCAGGGAAACTATGGAGATATAGTACTTTGGTTTACCAATGAGGTGTTATATGGCTTTGAGCTAAGTGGGGGAGTCTGCTATTGACAATCAGATTGCAGGGTCATGCGTTGTGTCAGCTTCCAGGCTGAGGGGTTGATCGACTGTTTCTTTGAATAGTCATGTGCTGGTGAAGCACGAGTTGCTCGGTGCGTAATGGCTGTGTATTGAAGATCATAGTAAGGTGAGTGATTGTCGAGAAGGTTCTGATGAGTTACAAATCATATGTGGCATTTAAGGACTTATGAATTGGTAAATGAATAGGGATTGAGATCGGGCGAATGGTAATCAGACCTGCAGTATTTCTATGTCATGAATGATTCTACATGGCAATATTGGAGAGGTGCAAGAAACACTTTCGGATTTGCAGAAGGTTCCTTCAGAGTGAGCATGTGGGATTGAGTTACTTTTGAGTTAGCAGTCTATGTGGCTCGGTTGAGTTAGAAGAGATAGGTTCTTATGACTCGATTATGTGTTAATGAGTTTCGAAGGATTCACCATGGTTATGGCCAGGACCGGAGTTGATGTTTTCTACAAGTATAGAACCTATGTTGCATGTGGTGATGTTTTCCTAGATTGAGTTAAATGAAAGGTTCTCGGCTGATGATATGTTCAACTTGTTGGCGGTTCAGAATTGATTATGAGATTTTCGTAATTTTTTACGAGTTAGCATGTTAGTGGCAGTGCGCCATGTGGGGTTGAAAGTTGTGAGTTCAAGGTTGCGGTTTAGTTTTGAAGGAGAGGATATGAGTTCTTGATGGCACGGACGATTTCAGGTGTTTAGGAGAATGCTGGCACTATTTGATGTCACCGGAGGAGAGTGCACATGTTGGCAGGTGCATTGTGTTTGACTTATGTGTAGTTTTCTTTAAGGTGATGGGTTATGAGTGACGTATCAGCCATTTAAGTAGCGG